GTCTCCTCACTGTCTTCGAGAATATTTTGATTGACCACCTCGAGTAGCTTAGGCGCCTTAGTACGTGGCATTCCCTGTTATTGTCTCATCATTCGTCCATAGTTCAGTTGAAAACGTCTTTGTTGGGTTCTAGTCATCTCATTGAAGGGTATCGTCCTTCCTGCATTATACTGGAACGAATGCCATACATTTGGTTGGCGAGACTGCGGCCTGAATGTTCTCCCATTATTCACTGGCTTGAACTGCCTCTCAAAAGGGGGTCCCCTATAGAACAATGTACCTCGCCCTCTACCAGGCTGAGCGTTTGGGAAAAAACTAGGGTGATGGTGATGCTGCCATATCCCTGGTTTCTCTGTATTCCCACTTACTTCTCTTTTATATCTTGCACACAGGACGTCTTCATCCTTTTTGGGCTTATTCCCTTTGATACGTTCAAAGACATTGGGATGTGATCCAGGGTCTTTTTCTCCATCATCTATAACCAACTTGAATTTTGGCAACTTGTTTTTGAAACCAGTCATCACCATGTTCACCCCAAGTGGCTGTGGAAAAGGATTTTCATCCACTGCCATCTTCTTCTTATCTTCGAACATAATTCGTCCTGATTCAATGGCATCCTGTAACACATGGCGAAAAACCAAATAGTTATTAGTCAAATGTGACCATGCATTATGCCACTTACAATATTTTTTACCCTTAACTTGTTCAGAGCTTGACAATTTATGTTTATCGCTCAGCTTTATTCGTTTATCCTTATATAATTTATCAAATATAAGGTCAGCTTTGATTACATCGAACGAAAACATTCTAACCTTTTTGTTTTCATCTTCTATAGTCTCATCCTTGCCCGACGGTCTAAGTTTAGCCATTATAGGACAAGTATACGTGTCTCCTTTGATTAATTCGGCCAAATATATTTAATTTGATCGTAACACTCGTCATTAATGGTATAAACATCAAAATTTGGGTCTCTATAATAAGTTCCCTTGCTAGAATTTTTCATTTGCTCTTCTTCTCTTATTAATCGTTCATACCTAATCACGTTCGCGCTCAATTGAAAAAGATCGAGAAATTCCTTGTCTTGGAATTTCTTTTTCAAATCAAAGCTTAGACAACCTTGAGCGATTTTAACAAACTTCTTTTCGGGCAAAGGCACAAAACATTTACTTCTTGCTGTCTTGAACCTTTGAAGGAAACCTTCTGCCCATTCGTCTGGCATTTGACGTAGATTCGTCAAATCGGTCAAAGTAATTTCAGACTCAGTCTTATAAAACTGAGCGTGGAACAATTGCTCCAATTGTTGTCATGTTTGGACAGAGTTTGCTGGCAAATTGATGAACCAGGAGAAAGCTACTCCTGTTAATGAACTAGGGAACAACCTCATTTTATGGTAATCAGTTACGTCACCACTTTGCAGTGTGAATCGCCTTATGTGTTCTAGAGTAGACATCTCTCCTAAACTGGTAAATAATGAGAATTCTGGCACTTTATACCCTCTAGGCCATGGATATCCTTGGTCTACGCAATTAGGATATGACTTCGTGTAAGTCGGCCTAATGACAGGACGTATCCCAAAAGTCATCTGGTCCTGTACTATTTCCATAATTTGATTCCTTAACATGACATTGGGGTCATATGGAATTCCTACAGGTTGGTTGACCGGTTGATTTGCTTGAGACCTGATATTTGGTCCTTGGTTGGCCACAAAGTTGCCATTTGGGCCATTGTTACCACTAGCCTGAATATTTATTCCATCGTTAACACGTGAGGCATTCTGTCCATTATTTAGGACATTATCTCTTACGTTTAGGTTACCCCCAAGTTAGATGTACCATTGCTACTATTCTGATTTGACATTACACCATCCCCCTGGTTTGAAGTAGATGGACCAAAAGGTGGTTCTACCCCTTGATTTGGACTTAGGACTGGGGGATTACGTCCTACAATTGTCCTAGTTTGAAAATGATTTGCAAGAGGCGCAACTAGCTGACAAATTTGGCCTACCAACTTATTCATTATTTCGTTCAAAGTATTCAATTGTTTGGCCATGTTGTCATAATGTGCATTCCCATTTTGGATAAATCTTTCCATATTATGAATATTTCATATATTTACCTGTTCAACGACATCCTGTGTGAGTTCTCCAAGTAATGCACGCATGGTTCAAGGACTCAACTCTGTCATTGGTTCGTAACGACTGTGACTGTTCTGACTCTGTCCATTTGTACGTGGAGAGTTATGCTGCTCCTCATATCGCTCGATCACAGACTGGACTCCTCCCTGACTTGCTTCCTTATCAGATTTCTGAGGCATATTGTTTCACCTTTTATATCTTCAACACCAAACACCAAAGTCCCACTCGGCGTGCCAAATTGTTTCGCGCGGGTGTCGCTAACAATTAAAAAGGGATCAGACGATTGTGTAAGGAACAAACCTCTTGAGACAAAGTCCCAAAAATGGGTGTTTTATTGGCAGTGACTTTACAATTAGAACTAAACAGAATGTTTCCAAGGGGCGCAAGCACACGAGTACTAAAAAGAAATGTTTAAGTCTAAACTAAGAAATTGAAGTTACATATTCTCTGTTTGAAAGTATTTGATTCGGGGTCATTTGCTCCATGTCTTCTCTTCCTTTTATATTCCCTTGATGATTTCTTCGTGATCATTCGCTTAGAAACTGCTAGATTGCTTTATAACTACCCACTTTCTTTATGATGGCTAACTTGTCGTGGAACTGCCGTCTCTAACTGCTGCCACTACTCTTTGTCGTTCAACCGTTTTCAACTGAACTCCTTGAATCGTGGAACATGATAATGTTACTCAATAACTGCTTCAATAACTGCACTTCTGGATAACCATAATATCTTATGTTTGCTAAGATCCTGGGCGATTCGAAAGTTTGGGCGAGAACAGGGTCATAGCTCTGGGCGACTGTAAGGCACTTCACTCGCTCAGATCTTGGGCGTCTTGCAAGTTTGGGCGATGATGTTACCGTGTTTGTGGGCTTCCACTCCATTCATTAATAACCCTATCTTGGCCTTTATCCTGAATTGCCCAGTTGGATTTCATTCTTTGGGCTATTTGATTTGGGAATTCCCCAATTGGACTTCATTCCTTGGGCTATTCGATTTGGGCTACACTTTTAGCGTGTCAACAGAGATCTTGCAAGATATTCGCCAGAGACAAGTGAAATGCCAATAGAATTCGTGTGTGTGAGAGTGGACAGAGAAACAAGGGTTCTTTGAGCTTATAGTTAGCACCTGTGAGTGGGAGACCGAGGAGATGTTTGTTATAGATTAAAATCAGATTTAAAGACGTTAAAATAAATAATTAATTATAATAATCTTTCGTGAAATTTACAATTTTTATAAATGAATTTTGCAACTTGTTTTAAGATAGTACATAGATAGTTACAAAAAATAATGTGGAGAGAAAAAAAAATGGATGAAAAAATTTATAATATTCTAAACTGATAAATTGCAGTGTGTCACGTGACATTACGTAATCTTCTATATAAACATTGATGTACATGATCGTTTTTAGATATAAGTAAGAATTTTCAAAAGAAAAGTAACCAAAAATTGCATATAAGTGTCGGTCTGACTTTTTTGGCCAAAAATATTTTTTGAAAAAGTATTTTATTAAAGAACGTGTAGTTAAAAAATAAAGAGAAGTTTTAATTTTCCGTGTAAAATTATTTTATAAAATAATGACTGGTTAAAAATGAGTTTTTGAGAAGACAATAATTTTTTTTATTATACTATACGTGCATCAAGTGTTTATAACGATATCCACCCCTCACATGAAGGGATATCCTCTTCAAATAAAATATAATTTATTCGAAGTAAATCCCGTTCCATGTAAGAAAAATGAACACCGCATTATGTACAAATAGCATATTTTTAAAATTTTATGATTTGATTCAGCTAAAAATAGATTTCTAGCCCATGTTTGATACTTTTTGTTTATTTGAAAATGAGTTTTTCAATAGTAAATTTTAGGAGAAAATATAATTGAAATGTAGAAAAATTTTGAATTTAAGTGGAAAATAATTTACTCGAGAATGTATAATTAGAAATAAATTTAGGTAAAAATGAGTTTATAGATAATGAGCATCGAACAAGAGCTTAGTAGATTAGTAAAAAAATTGAAGCAATGTGAGATTAAAAATTAATAAAAATTGATTTTTATGAAATAAAATTAAATAAAAATAAATTTTAAAGCCAAACAGATCAGAACCTAAAGGAGTTATTGATAAAAATGATTAAAAAGTTAATTTTTATTCATTATTGTTTTTTTTTTCATTCAGATCCATTCGATTGCAAAGGTGGAAAGGCTAACAAATTTCATGTGATTTGGAAAAGAAAAAACAATCAAAATCATAGGGATTCTATTTTCACTCAATAGGTCAAAAATATGTTTTAATGGTTCGTTTGATTGTAAGGATGAAATTTGGATGAAAAAAATTGAATTCCAGATAATTGAATTGACTAGGACTTATTTTATTGGGAATTGACAATTAAATGTGTTAGATTAATATAATTTTTCATATGAAAAATATTGAAATTTTTTATCTTTTGATGTTCATTTGACTTTGTTTTTCATGAAAATTTTCAGCTAAAGAGACAATTTATTACAATTGGGAATATAACTTGTTCTAAAAAAATAAAAAATTGGTTGAAAATTCAACAAGTGGTGAGAATTGATTTTCCACAAAACCGTGGAATTGGCACGTGTGGAGGGAAGTTGGAAAATAAATTCCATGAAAATTTTTAGCAATCAAACAATACAAATTGGGTGGAAATGAAAAACATTTTCCATTTTCCATTTTCCATGGAAAATCAAGGCTATCAAACTTGGCATAAGTGTTTATACCATGAAATTCAAACTTTATTTTCATTTTTATATCAAACAGTTAAAGTAGAAAATAAATTTGTCGTACATGATATTTTTCATAAAATTTAACAGTAGTGGACCTTAATTTACCTTCACCAGTGGCGTTCCTTGAGAGAACGGTCGCACCACTACTTATCTTCCATAGGTGTTTTTTTTACTTTCATTTTATTTTTTCGAGACACAATTGTAGATGAAAAATGAGGTTTCGAGTCAAACAGCCATTGCCACTGTCTTACCTCCGACCACCTCAATCTTCTTCGTCGCTCAACTCAGTCCCGATACAGTTCCGTAAATCTTCATAACACACACATTTCTGTGAATTGAAGTGAATGATGTTTCAATTTAATGGCGAATGTTTTGTTTTTATAATCAGGTCATCATTTGGGATAGCATTTGATATAGATGGGGTCATATTACGAGGCCAAACACCAATTGGAAATTCCCATAAAGCACTAAAGAGACTGTATGATGATTCCGGTAGAATTTTCGACTCAAACTTCTTTTAGATATTTGTTCTTCATATATACTATACAATTGTTTAAATTGATCGAAATTTAAAATGGAAAATAATGATTTTTAATTTTAATTAGGGTTGTGAAATTCGAGCAAATTATTATAGTAATAAAAAGATCTATAAATTCTTAAAAAGGAAGCAGTAAAAATTACAAATTTTGTAACTGACCACACACATTCTGGATAGGCAAGGATATTTTAAAGAAGTCCTGAGAATTTATTTTCTTCTATCAGCGTGTAAAGAAATTCTGCAAGTCTGGTCTTCTATCTGTGTAACAGTCTGGTCTTCTATCTGTGTAACAGTGTGAATAATCTTTATCTTGGTGAAAGAATTTGACCTGTTGTGTCATTTCGGATCTAATTTAAAAGCTTTAGCCCACTATATGTGACGACCGAAATTTTAACAATTTACATCGTTACCAAAACTTTTATTCCATAATTAAATGAATTATTCAAACACCCCATGTGAGAATTTTTAGTTTCATCGATAAAATAATTAATATATAAATGAAACATAATCAATTGAAACATGTCCCAAATCCTAAATAACAATTTTACATGGAAATAAAATTAAAATAACGCTGAAAATAAAAGTCCATGGTCACATTACTTCGGATTGTTTTTATTGAATTCCATAATTTCTAGTATCACGATTGCATCGCATCGCCCGCCAATTAGTGATCCGTTCTAATCTGTGAGGAGTAGGGAAATAGGTAAGTACATGGAAATACTCAACAGGACAAAAAAAAATCATGGTGCAATCCCAAATAAAAAAATTTAAATACATGTGTCAAAAATATCATACCATCATCATATCTTTAGAAATCGGTAAGAATTTATATCATATTATATTATTTGTACCGAAATGACGATATCATTTATATCATATCATATCTTTAGCTTTCATGAGTACAATAACTCATCAACATGAAAAGATAATTAAACGGGATAGAATACACTGCACCTCGATATTCTAACTTGTTAACTTGCTTTAATTTTTGGAAGACAAAACAAAATTCACATTCCAACAATTTCTTTTTCTACCTCTGCTTATGTGTGTGTGTGTGTATGTATTTTCTCTCATGTAATGTAAGTATATACATAGGCAATTATACAAGAGTTGGTACATTGTGGGGAAACGTGTGGGAGTAGAATAGAGTTATGGATAAAAGTATCGGAATCCGAAATTTGACTAAGTCTTGTCAACAACCAAACCACTCAAAAATCAATACATTCCATACACGTGGCGGCACACCTAGTTAAGTTGAAAGGAATTAGTTTTCTTTTAACAACCACCCACACGACTTCCCTAACCTCTCTCTTTTCTTTTAATTTCTTTTGTTAAAAATTTTAAGATTGTTTAACAAATTGAGAGAATAGAATTTTACACTGTTCGTTCAATAATTTCAGGAACCAAAATTCTATTCTCTCCGATTTCATCCCAATGGAAAGAGGATTTGCACTTTCTAAGGTAAAGAGCTTCATATGGAGCCATGCATATACTAGCCTAGAAACTATTGGTGTAAGCTTCATATGTGGCCATGCCTATAGGGTAAAGAGCTTCGTATGGGGCGCTGTGATTTACAATAAAGTGAAAGGTTTCCTCCTTGTATAATTAGTTTCCTTGTTTAGATTGATTTTCCTTTGTATAATTAGGGTTTCTTTGTATATAATTGTAAACTCCTATACATATGAGAGGATGACAAGAAAAATGTTGATTGAGGTAAATTGGCACGGTTGAGGTGGTTGACAAGATTAGAGCCAGAATAAAGATAGCACAGGACCGACAGAAAAGTTATGTAGATGGTAGAAGAATGGATTTGGAATTTAGTATAGGCAACAAGGTTTTTCTTAAATTAGCACCCATGAAGGGTGTTTTGAGATTTGGTAAGAAGAGAAAGTTGAGACCGCGATTTATTGGATTTTTCGAGATTCTTGAAAGGATTGGTGTTGTGACGTACCGACTTGTCTTACCACCTGACTTGCAGCAGTGCATAATGTATTTCATGTTTCGATACTCAGAAAATATGTTCATGATCCCAATCATGTAGTAAATTATTAGACATTGGACGCACAAAAAAACTTATCCTATGAAGAAATCCCGACGATGATTTTGAATAAAAAAGTACATCAACTCAGAAACAAGAAAGTTCCCCTAATCAAGGTTCAATGGCGAAATCATGGACTTGACGAGTCAACTTGGAAGAAAAAGAGGAGCTTAGAATCAATTATTCAGAGCTCTTCGATTAGCCAAGGTAAATTTTCAAGGACGAAAATATTCTAAGGGAGGAGATTGTAATGTCCCGAAAATTTTCATAGAATAGAATTTAATTTTTGTATGCTATATTTTAATATTTTGAAATGTTAGGGACTAAAATATATGTATAGTAACTTTCATTTTTATTTTGGTTAAAATGTAGATATTAGCGGAGCAATAATTAGTATATGAATATTAGGCTCATTGGATATATCGTAATTAATCATACATATTAGTTTCGAGAAAAAGTCAATTTGGATTAGTGGAACCCAAGTTATTGAGGTCGAAAGATATAGCCTTAAATTATATTTTAATTGAGTATTTAATGAATTTTAAATTATTTAATGGAACAAGATTCTTGGGTAGGTGTAGTGATTGAATTTTTTTTTTATTAAATAAAGATTTAAAAAGGTGGCAGAAAAGAAAAGAGAGAGGTTAGGAAAGTCACGTTGGTGGTTATTAAAAGAAAACTGATTCCTTTCAACTTAACTAGGTGTGCCGCCACGTGTATGGAATGTGTTGATTTTTGAGTGGTTTAGTTGTTGGCAAGATTTAGTCAAATTTTGGTTTCCAATACTTTTATCCATAACTCTATTCCACGCCCACATGTTTCTCCATAATGTACCAACTCTTATATAATTGCCTATGTATATAGTTACATCACATGATAGAAAATACACTGTATGTATGTATGTATGCACACATATACATATACATGCACGACACATAAGCAGAGGCAGAAAAAGGAATTGTTGGAACGTGAATTTTATTTTATCTTCCAAAAATTAAAGCAAGTTATAAGGTAGGATATGGAGGTGTAGTGTATTCTTTCCCGTTTAATTATTTGTTTCATGTTGATGAGTTATTGTACTCATGAAAGTTAAAGATATGATATGCTATAATATGAATGATATGGTTATTTCGGTACAAATGATATGAGCTCTTACCGATTTCTAAAGATATGAGATGGTCTGATATCTTGATACATGTTTTAAAAATTTTACTTTAGATTGCACCATTAATTTTTAAATTCTACTGAGTATTCCCATGTACTCACAATTTTCCCCACTTCTCACAGGTTAGAATGGAGCGTGGCGATTCTACTGAGTGGTTGTGCCTCGTTTCACTGAATGAAAATCTAAAGAATTTAGCACGTAACTTTATCTCTTTTAATTTTGTTGCCATAGACACTTATTTTTAATTGAATTATCGTATATGTTATTTGTTATATGGATATTTTTAAATTGCACTTTTATTTAAAGGTTTGAATTAAATTGTTTGATTTCCCTTAAGTGCTATCTTACATTAATGGAAACAAAATTTTATTTTATTTTATTTTTTTTAAATTTCCATCATCAAATCTGCTTTTCCAATGATTAATTTTACCAATAATGTAATTTTCCTAAGAATTCATATATTAATCTGATAATGGTGAAAGGCATGCATCGTCTAAATGACTAAATCTAGCATGTCAATTTCCTTTTTCTCCATGTTTTCATGAAGAAAAATTGGGAATCTTGATTCAAAATATTATTTCCGTGTCACTGCCTCATGAAGCATTAATAATCTAGTTGACGTGCGATGTTGTTTCATTTTTAATAAGTTTTGAATTGAATGTTACTTCTTCCACCAACTTCACTGTTTAAAAATAATGGGATCTGTCCTTATTGCTAAATTCATATCAAATAATGAATGTTTGGCTCGTGGTCACTTCCACACACATAATAAATATCCCATAGCCATAGCCATGCGATGTAAAGTGTGTGGATTTCTTTAATAAAAAAGGGAGCTTTTGGTTGTATTCTTGTCTCCTGCAAGTTTTCTCTTCTTTTTCTAAATTAAATGTTTAGTTGGCTGTTGAACACGTTCAAATACAGTTATCTACTAATAAATTAGATTTCAAAGAATGTGCCAGTTAGAAATTTAAAATTGATGCATCATATGTGGTATAAAATATAATTGAGCATTTTATAAATAAATTTTGGTAATGATTCAAATCTTTAAAATTTGGGTCATTACACTATATGCATTGAAATAGAATTTGTGTCTTTCGATCGATTGAATAAGTATGCTTAAATGTAATAAAAGTGTTTGCTGCAGTGGTATAATTAGGTGACATGGAAGACTTTCTCTCCCTCTTTATCTCCGTGATTGTATGTTTCTGTGAGGGCATAGATCTCATTTCTCTATCCACTTTCTTTCAATAAGCCCTTACTTGTCATCTCCCTGCTGTGCATATTATGCCCTTTTTTGAGTCCCATTTTGTTGGAAGAAATGCATTTTTGAATAGTGTATTGATGGAAAATATGTGGTTAAAAAATAAAGAAAAATTTTAGATTTGCGTGTTATATTATTTTATTGAACAACGTGTGGTTGAAATGATTCAAAACACTTTTTAAGAATGCATTTTTTTTCAAAGAATGAGACTCAAACAAGGGCTATATGTTAAATCAAGGGTCTCTTTGAAGAAGGTTTTCAATACTAGGGCTGGTTTATAGTTTGGATTAATAAGCTGGTTGTAAATTTTCTAGCCATGTCTTTTGTAGGGTATGGACAGTGGCAGGTACACCATATGGGATTATTTTGCGTTCATATTATTTGAAATTAAAATGTAATAGCCTGTTTGTAATGTAAAACTGATTTCTGCTGGCTTGCAGGTGCTTTGAAGTTCCCTTTTCTGTTTTTGACAAATGGTTAGTTTCTGAATTATTATTCTTTCTTTGTATCATGCTATTTGAAGAATGATTTTTTAGTTCATGTGGAAAAAAATTTAAAGAATTTTTTAATTAGTTTCTTTTCCACTATATACCCTGCCCCAAAACTGCCAAGCAATCTAATGATGAGAATGGGGATTGTATCTTTTTAGACTCTTCCAAGATCCGGTGGTAATTGGTTTTCAGCTTGCTTATTTTCTTCATCGTTACAACTGGATGTACTCAAATAATTTATTTATTTGTGTGATGTGAAATTCGCTAAAATTGTAGCCTTCAATGTAACAAACTAGTACTTAAATGGTCCGGAGCATTGTTTTGAAACCTGGACCAGACCGGCTGATTTAAAAGGGAAACCTGGAAACCGGTTTGTTTGAGGTTAAAAAACTGGAAATTAACAAACAGTTAGAGAAGTAAAGAACGAGCAGGTTCACCTCAACATTTTTTTGTGATCTTTTTTTAATATTTATTTGTCAGCAATTCGACCTTTGACGCATGATCTTTTCCATGTCCCTGCCCGGGTTGGTTTCCAAAACATTGGTTCAGAGCAGCTACTAAAAAATTGTTCTTGAGTCATGATTGTTGTAATTGTCATTTGTAGAGTATTCTTGCTTCCGAATTAAAATATCTATATTAAGAATTTTGGGCACAACTGACTTCCATCATTACTGAGACATCTTGAACTTATTTTGTACATTATGCCCTTGTTTGAGCTCCATTCTTTTCATAAGAATGAATTTTTGAATAGTGTATTAATGGAAAATGTGTGGTTAAAAAATAAGAAAAAGTTTTGGATTTACGTATAATATTATTTTATTGAAAAATGTGTGGTTGAAATAATGTCAAAATACTGTTTAAAAATGTATTTTTTTTTTTTTTTTTTCAAAGAATCGGAATCAAACAGGGGCTATATCCAAGATTTACCATGCATGAGTAACTGACTTCATGACTTATTTTTTAGACAAAACACTGACAAACCATTTAGAAACTAATGTTATTTTGCCATCATGTTTCCGTAGGTGGAGGTTTCCCAGAGTCTAAAAGAGCCTATGACTTGAGCAACCTTCTAGGTGTGAAGATTTTGCCTTCTCAGGTTAGTAATTAAAATTGGCAAATAAAATTCATGAAATTGTCTAAATGTTGACAGATTTGAAGTGCTTCTACTTTGGATTTAGGTAGTGCAGGGCCACTCACCTTTTAGAACTTTTCTGAGCAGGTACATATAACGGAAAATCTCTCCTGACATCCTGATTTATTTTTTCAGATATAGTGTATTAATAGAAACCGGTATTTAGTTGCCTATCCAAAAAAAAAAAAAAAAAACTGGAATTTTGTTCAAATTTAAACTTGTGACTTATTTTTATTAGATTATATCTCTATTCCACCCACTAATGTAACTCAGGATTATAAGCATTCCAGACAATGTCTGATCCACTTTGTGTTCAATGCTGGGAAAATTCCATTAAGTATCATGTATTTAAGACAGTCATATCAGCAGTAAATTTTCGGTTAGACATTTAAATAATTGGAGAAGTATCCAAGAGAGTGTTTATAACTTATGGAAATTATTTTTAATTGGAAATAATACTAAGGGTGTGTTTGATCCCCATTTTATGGAAAAATTGGTTTTGTAATGATGATTTTCTGAAGATTGTGTGGTTAAAAAATAGGAAAAAGTTTTGAATTTATATGTAAAATTATTTTATTGGAAGAATGTAGTTGAAAATGAGTTTGAAGAAAAATGAGTTTGTAAAAATGGGGCACAAACATGGGCTAAGTTCAATAGTTAGGGCTTGTTTGAGCCACATTATTTTCTAAGAATGCATTTTAGAATAGTTGATTGATGGAGAATGTGTGGTTAAAAAATAAGAAAAAGTTTTGGGGTTGCATATAATATTATTTTATTGAAAAATGTGTAGTTGAAAAGAAGAGGGAGAAAAATGTATTTTGGAAAAAAAATGGGGATCAAACAAGGGCTTAATGAGCAATAGATGGTAAAAAAAAAAATCTTTTTTTGCTTCTCTCTTTGGAGTAAACTGACATTTATTAAATAACTATGAGATATGATAGAACCTTCATATGTGTTTTTTGTCCCCAAGAGGCATTCAGAGGCTTTTTTTTTAATAAATAGATATTGCTGATTTTCTTTAAAAAATTTACAAATAATAAATTTTAAGTAATTCATCTAATTTTTTGTTGAGACTTGACCGTGGTATCACCAATTTTCTTCTTTTCTAGATTCGAGAATGAACTCATCATTGCTACTGGAAAAGGTGACCCTGCTGAAGTGATGTCGGAGTATGGCTTCAAGTAAGTTCCACCATATAAGGTGGTTTTAGTTTTTTTATTTTTTGTTTTTCTGCACATTTAGTGGGACCTTAAGTTAAAACTATGTGCAGAAGAGTTCTCTCCCTAGATGAGTATGCATCATACTTCGATCACATTGATCCTGTAGCTCATTATAAAGGGTGGGCCAGTATTAAGGATTCCGATTGGCCAAAAAATTCCCCAAAGTCGGTCTCAAGCCCTGATGTTATCACTAACAAAGTTAAAGCAGCATTTGTTGTTAGTGATCCTGTTGACTGGGGGAGGGATATTCAGGTACTTTTCTTACATCTCTAGAGATGAATGTTGAGTAGCCACTATATGTTGTTCTGAAGTTTAAATTAGTATTTCTGTGGTCATCTGACATATATATTTGACTTAACTTAAATGTGTAATCCAGATACCTTGTCTGCTGTAGCAATGCAAAAAAATCACTCTGAGACATTGTTAGAGCTTTCTTTAGGCCTAAGAAGTAATTAAAAGCATAATTGTCACAATCAGACTCCAGTCACAAAAAAAATTTAATATTCATTTTCCACTAATGGAAAGAGTACATACATTGGGAACGTAAAAGTAGCTGCTAACTAAATTATCAGACTGTTTTCTCTGAAAGTCATTAACTGTTGTATTATGAGAATTCTTTGTTCTCAATATTTTGTCTTAAAGCCATTATCATCGCACGTCATAGCTATTATATGTGCAACAGGCTTTAAGGAAAAGGAAATATAATATAGATGGGAACAATTGCTTTTGAGCACCCCTGTACTGAATTGGCCACCCCCTCCTCCCAAACCACCACCACGCATGAAAAAAAAGTAAAAAAGAAAAGGAAAACTCAAAACTACGTATGTCCTTCAGATAATATCCCCCCACTTACAAAGTATAGAGGATGGTGTAGAAACTGAGGCAACATGAACTCAGTTGGCCATTAAGTTTGACTTTTTATATCTGTATATATAAGCATATTTCTGAAATGAGTGACAGATGAATACAGGTGCTTTGTGACATTTTAACATCTGGAAATCTTCCTGGAGAGAACTATGGGCGTCAGCCACCTTTATATTTTGCTGCTGATGATCTGCAATATCAGGTCAGTGCTAATGCATATTATCTAAGTACAACTCCTCCTCACTATCTTGTCTTCACAAAGAAAGTATTTAACAACTCAGAACTATGAAAGTAAAATCTCCCGTGTACTCAAAACGACTCTAATGTCTTGAAGCATTTCAGGGTTTTGTTCACACTAAAATTAATTTTAAGCATTTGAAATTGGCTTGAAAAATAAATTTCAGGAATAATATGAATCTCTGGATTTGCAGTGTGCTTCTGCTTTAAATTCTTGAAACTCTTCATTATACATTTAAAAACTGTTGATCTGCTGTCAATATCCTACAGGCTGCATTTCCTTCAGAACGTCTTGGTATGGGTGCATTTAGAATAGCCCTTGAAAGTATCTTCAACAGGTTTGATTTGTGGTTCTACCATTTCTGTGTATTCCATTAGCGTCAAAATTACTGGTTTCGAGTTATCAATGATTTTTGTTTCTATCCATACACTCCCCTCCACATTCCCCACAATGGTATGTATTATCTACTAGTTGCAGGATGGGACTATATGGTGAACGTATATTTATTTTCAATCAATAAATGACTCTATTCTGGGGTCAATCTTCTTGAATTGAAGCATTTCTAGTAGTTTTAGGACAGGAAAGTTTTCCTCTCTGTAGGAGTGCATCTGTGAAGGAAGTTTGTGCCTTGGTGGTGGCGTATAATTTGGACTTGCAGATTGAATTAGTTATTTTGCATTAGCAAACTCAAAGAGAATACTATCCTGCTATTTTGTTGTTTGTTGCCACTCTGACTTTCAAGCGATTCTCCATTTTTGTTTTCTCGTTATATATCTCATGTTATGATTCTCATTGTGGGGTACAAAGAATGTGAATTCTATCATGCCTATAGTATATTTATCCTAGACTATAGTTAAAAATTCCATGACATTCCTGTTTGACTGTGCATCTTTGCAGAATTCACAATAAACCTTTGCAGTATACGTGTTTAGGGAAGCCAAATCCCTTTGTTTACAAAAACGCTGAAACCATATTAAGAGAAATCCAGAAATCCTCTTGTCATTGCAATGCCATTGTGGAAAATGCAGAACAAGGGTCACATTCTTTCAAGACCCTATATATGATAGGTGATAATCCTTTAGTTGATGTTAAAGGAGCGCATCAGGTTTGTCTCTCTTGGCATGGCTTAGGGCCCATTTGCTATGCTTTTTGTTATCAAACATAATGTAACTTTTACCCACTATCAAGATGAGTACCTTACTTTTTTTACATTTTATAAAAATAAAAAATGTAACTGCTTTGAACTTTGACCAATAAAAAGTTATTTATTTTGAAAGTTATGTGTTTCCTTGTAAGATTTTTAAGATCAGCCAAACATGCTTTTGCAACTCTTATGTGACAGTTGTTTGTAACTGTTATGTCAATGTGCATATAATTTTATGAGGGTGATACTTAAGCTATTTTTACTTCTTCATTCTCAGGCAAGGAGTCCTTAGTTTTCTATTTTGACCAGGACAGGCGTTTTTAGGCAAAAAGAGAACCATGCAGAATATCCAGCTCATCTGGTAAGCCTGATTATGCTACATATGTTTCCAATTGTAAATCTGTTGTTTGATAGTGTGAGTCATTTTTACGATCACATATTATAACCCTGTTTGAGCCCCATTTTGATAAGAAAATGTATTTTGGAATTGTGATTTTTTTGGGGCAAGTGTGGTTAAAAAGGAAGGATAAATTTTCGATTTACGTCTAAAATTATTTTATGGGAGTTTTGTTAAAAATGAGTTTTGAAAAAAATGAATTTTTGAAAAACTAGGGGGACAAAATAGGTTAAATAGTTGGTGTCTAGAATATGGAGTGAAAACACTTTTGACTCTATAACCGGAGTAATTTACATCTTATTCTTTACACAAATGATGAATGATATTTAAGAAAAGTGTAACCTAAGAAAAAATACTTGATGACGGTCACATTAGTACGGTTTTGCACGTGCATAAAACATGCATTCACAATGAAATATCATCGCATGAATTTGCAGGACATAATATATTGAATAGACAAAAGTCTAACAACAATTTTAAGTTACAATGCAAATTGGCAACCGATTGTACTTTTTGTTGGTTGTGTAGGTTGTTGATACTGTGGAAGAGGCTGTGGAATTTATACTGAAAAGGGAAGTTGCTTCCTAGTTGAAATAGCAGTCGTCAATTTTTAGTGAAGCGGTGAAAATACGACAAAACATCCATTGTTCCTTGGTTAAGATGTATAATTGTTTCATCTGTTATATTCATTCATCTGATGCTCAACAATCATTCATTCATCAAGGTCTACTATAATGACTTAATGACATTTTTTGGCAAGGTGAATTAGACATTGCTCTACGATACTAAGAGAGGAAAAAGGTAAAAACTTATATATTGTACCGATATGTCTTATCAAGCTAAACATGTCTTAAGAACATGTTTGGTAAGTTAGATTGTAACTTGTGGTGAAAAACACGTCCTTGAAAATGGAAGAATTAAACACAGACAACATTGGGTACATTGTGGTGTCGATGATTTCTCCTAATACTTAATTTACATTATTTCCTTAGCGAGGTGTCCTTCAACTGTGCTCTTATTTATAATATTTGATTTTATTTTATTTTTTTATAGTACACAAACTATTTCTTCTGGATTATTTCTTTTATAAAATGGGGCTCAATTTTATACAGAGAAAGTCAAAGAGAAGGGTAGGACGAAAGAATAATGTTATTTGCAGTCGCTCACTGAAGCAGTCGCCCTATGTGGTATACAAATGGTAGATAGTTATTTGATACATTAATGAATAAAAAAATTACCACATTATTTTTTTATTCATTAATGTATCAAATAATCACCTGCCCTGTGTATACTACGTAGATCGACTACCGCAGTAAGCGACTGCAAATAGCATTACTCAGGACGAAAATATAAAAAGAACTTTTACCCAACCAAAAATAAAAAAATACTGTATCATTACAATAGATTTAAGGTTGGCTATTTGATCGGTTTCATACAGGAAAACATAAAGCAACTTGGTCTTTCCATCTGCCCATAAAAGATTTTTACAGGGAAAATGAGGATTAAAGTAGAAAAATAGACAAAATTGAAATTTTTATTTATTCGGGATATATCAATTGTCTTGAAGAGGTTCATTTGCTAGAGACTTAAAGTCTTGTAAACCAGAATCCTCAAAACATAAACAAGTTCCCACAAAATACTGATCATCAACATTCACAAGACGAAGTCTGCAATTTTCATAGTTATACAACACAACTATTCTCCACCTTCCACGAATCTCCAACCGTGGAATCAAAAGGCCTCCCTGAATTCTAAGAATAAACGCTACTTCCTATACATATTTAGCATAGAAAGGCAGTGGTCAAGAATCCGTGTCCCTGGTTTCACTTTTGCTTTGGTTATCGTCTGTTACTCGTCGCACAAATTGTCCTCGAACACGTGGCCTTTGTTCTGCCAATTTCTTCCTGCTCTGGTACCGGACCTAGAAAAAATTGATGAGAACAATGTCAAAGAACGTAAGTTCTGCTGTTAATCTCCAAATAAAAATCTGAATGACTTGTTTGAATTGATGAGAACAATGTAAAGTAAGTGATACTTAAAAACTCCACAGGTTAACATTATACTTTGATGGCAATAGACTTGTGAAATGCCAATTGCAAAGATAACCAGGGAGGCAAGAATGCAATGAAACTATGCGAGTTCAAGTGCACGTTTCATGCATATCTGTTTGTGAAACGAAAATTGGTTTTTATTGGAAAAGAGAAATTATTGCAAATCAAAGGAACAGAAATGCCTGTGCTAAAATTGTCAACATTGCGCACACATTTACACCCCAAGACCTTTTTCTTCACTCGTGTGTTCCCCGGTCTATTATTGATCCGAGAATTACAGCAAAAAAGTTACCTTTTTCTCGAAGCATCTTTCTTTTCTTTTCTGATAAAATTTGCTCAAAGCGGCCTCCCTCTGTGCTGACCGGTTTTGGTCTACCCTGCTCCTGCTTCCACTGCCACTACCATCACCAACTTCATATTGCTCAATTGTTCCATTATCACTTGCCATGTTTGTTCCTTCAGTGATTGCAACAGTGCTTACTCCATTTTGCCCGTTGCTTCCATTGTTACTCCCTGATGCACTCCCATAATTAGCAGCATTTCCTTCCAATTCTGTGACTAACTCATCACTTGGTCCGTGTTGTGGAGCTTCAGCAGTTAAAAGTTTCAAGGACAAATAATCATGGTTGAGCAGTTGCTGCTGCTGCCGCTGCTGAGCATCATAAGCATGATGATGGTGGTGGTAATGGTGATGGTGGTGATGGTGATGGTGGTGGTTCTGAACTTGGGCCTGCTGGTCTGAGGCCTTCATTGGTGCCAAGGCTGACTTTGTCAAATTGGATTTGCCCGGGTTCACAGGCTGAATGGGCATGCGGACCTGCTGCACTGACTGCAAAGCAGAACATGGATGGATACCGACTGAAGATTTGGGCACTGTTTTCTCGTTACCTGCTTCCACCTTGGCAAAAACATTATCCGTGGTGGAACCCATGTCATTGTTGTTGCTACTTCCATTAGATCCCTGATTGGGAGTGGCTAATTCTGTCTTTGCTGCTTCAGAACTATTATTAATTGGAGAGCAGCTGCCCACATTTCCAGTTGGCATCGCATTGGTCGTGGAGTTATACCTGAAACTTATTGGGAAGTGTTTTAAGTATCATTCTTACTATTTGGATCAAAGGAAAGATATAGAAGTCTTCTAATTAGGCATTGAGTTCTACACCTTGAGAAGGCTGAAAGGTTTGAATGTTTCAATACATTATGCTGATAGGCACTAGTTCCCGTATCATCTGTGTCTCTGAGTTGTTTCAAACTAAACTCAAGGGTAGGTTTTTCCTTTGGATCATAGGTCGCCGTTTCTTTGATTTTCGCAACTTCAGATGGATGTTTTGGAACTTCGTTAGATACATTTCTCATCCGATGTTTAGGCACATTGGTAATTGCACTCATCAGACCACAATCTTTGTTCGTCAACGCTCCATATGGTATCTCATTCTTAGGATCCATTTTTCCATTTTCAGGTCTGTTGCAATCTTTGCTAGAGTATGGATTCAAATTTTTAGACTTTTCAGTGTCTGGTGTATCACTTAATACTCCACATCTTTGGCTGCGTAGTTCTTGAGCATTTGGTACTCCAATCTTCAAATCTTTTCCATTTTAGCATTGTCATAGCGGTGAAATAAACCATTTTCTCAATTTAAATAGTAAAAAAATAAAATGGGTAAATAAATGAAAATGTGCAAAGTGAATTTAAAAGAGAGAATCATACCAAGTGCAGCATCCTGATTTCGATATTCTCTAGTGGATGTTGACACCCGGTTATTGCATTTCGCCTCAGGCCGTGAATGGCTAGCCTGGGCAAGAGTTGTATTAGGAGGACCTGCTAATTCATTGCAAGGAGTCGAGGGTTGGGGGCCATCAATTTCTACTGCCCTTCTTGACCAAGAACTCTGCATAAAATAACATATATGTTAACATAGAAATTGGAATTAGAAACTAGATCGAGCTCAATCACTAGCATCAGAAACTTACATCTTGTCAGGTTCTTTACACACGCACATGTCCATTAATTTATGATAACATGAATATTTGAATAATCTGTAAAGCACAAAAACATGTAAAAATATACTTGGTTTCCCTTACTATCTTGATTAGTGGTCTTGGCTGGTATCCTTAAATGACAAAACTTTGAAAGATTACACACACTCTATCCATTTGTCTTGGTAAATTTGTCTTGGGGAAGTGAAATTTCAAATTATATACATTAATTAATACAGAGGTCAGGTTATTCGTGCGTGGAAAATCTAAGCTCTGTTTAAATCTAATTGTGTAATGAAGTTTCTATCCAAAAAATCAAGATGAGGAGTTCATAGTCAAAATTGTTTTAAAAACTGGACAGGACTGGCTGGTCCAAAACCAGGAACCTGTCCGATTCTAAGCTTAAAAACCGAAAATAGCAAACCATTAGAAAAAATAAAGAACCTGCTGGCTTTAAACTGGCTGTTCACCTCAGTTTTTTGATTTTGTAAATACTTTTTGCCACCTGTTAGACCTCGGTTTGACCTTTTACCCTTTCCAGGTCAATAGCCCCAACCAGTTATCTAAATATTTCAGTCAAAAAAAGGTTTTTCCATGTAATAACTTTAGGAAATAAATCCAATCACTGGATAGTAGATAAAGGAACCAATGCTTCTATAAAGGTCACTAAAATGTCCAACATACCTGCTACAAGGACTACGCTCTACTACCATAAACAGCTATTCAAGCTCTGTATTACACTATATAAGAAGATACATCAGAAACACGATTAAACTAATAATGACTTGGGCATCTTTTCCAGCATATATTTATGTCAAGAATATCTTCATCTTCCTATCATCTTGGCATTCCTTATTAGCATATACGCATCCCTAGAATCATTTATGCATCCCAGTAATTGATGCAATGATTCCATTTATTGAATGAAAAATCTAACAATTCGTTACATCAAGTCCAGTTCTTAATACTCAAACCTCTAAAAGTTAGCTGTGGCAACAAACTAATTCATTCAGGTGACTGCTCATTACTCTTTAACACAAGAAAAACTGCATGCATGCAACAGATACATACAAGAAATGTGATCCTCCAATCGTGGCATTTTGGAAATAGGTATTACCTGAGTTTCACTTCCACTTCCATTTTCACTTCCATCCTGAACATTCAAGCCAATGCTTGCACTGTCGTCGTCGTCATCATTGCTGGCAGCATAATTATCTAACTCTTCGCTTTTTGATTTTGGAGATTTTTGAGTTCGTATTCCACTTTCACTTCCACTTCCACTACCACTTGACTGCTATTAAAGGAGAGAGATTAATTCATTATAGAACAACATGCTATGCTGAAAAGAAAAATAAAAACAGAACTTTCAAAAGTATCCAGATGGAGTCCAGCATTCTCTGCTTTAAAAGTTATCCATGTCTCGACCACCAAAGTCGTCTTTCCCCAGCTTATCTTCAACCGTTGCCATATCCACTTTGTGATTATTCTTGTATCTTATCTTATTCATCCTACTACAACTACACATCAATCTTGATGTCCTTATTTCAGCTACATTTTTTCGTATGGGCTTTTTGTCCTAACCCTAAACCGGACACGGAACATTTCACAATTCAGTAGCGGTGAGACTAGAATGTTCTGAACCACTTCATCTAAAGCTAAAACTTAAAATAAAAAGTTGCCATCCTAGTAATACTCTCGCCCAAGAACTCTTGACTTCAGAGTTCTCTAGGGGTTCAATAACTTATTGCATATATAGTCACAACCATCCTAATAGTAATCTTGTCAAGCTTATCATTTGTACTAATTGTACTAGGATAGGATCAAGGAACTGAATATTACTTACACTGTGGCATTTTCTCCAAACATGCTGCCAGAGAGTTTTAAGCTCATTCTTTCTAATAGGCTTCACTAAAAAGTCAGCTGCACCCTTCGACAAACATTTAAAGACTATACCCATAGAATCATTAGATGACATCACTGCAAGAAAAACTCATCAGCTAGCAGTTTAGAAGTACAAATTCTTTAAAATCATGAATAAGATGTTCTTGACATTGAAATAGCAAGACAGAAAATTGTAACAAAAACTCACTAATTACTGGAATATTCTTGCTCGTCTTGTGGTTCATAATCATGGATAAGAGTCCAATGCCAGACAAATATGGCATAGCTACCTCTGTTAAAACAAGATCAATGTGATTGGTTGGATCTTCTAAAATTTTCCATGCTTCTAGGCCATGAGCTACAGCTGTAACTGCAGATATTCAATTCAGTTGAAAGAACCATAAAAATATCAGATGAGACAATTAAGATATGCAAAATGAAATGATAGATTAGTTGTCACAAAAACACATGTACGAAATAAGCAATACTATCAATAAAGCTATCAACCTCAAAGAGATTGCGTGAAGTCTTCAGAATTGCATTAGTTACATAAAGAAATATAACCTAATGTCCATAGACCTGAAAATTTCGAAGGGAGAACCTTAACCTTTAATTTGAATTAGCCTGTGTTTGATTCTCATTATTCCCACATTATAATGAGAATTTGATTTTGTAATAGTAATATTTTGGAGAATGTGTGGTTAAAAAAAAAAGAGAAGCTTTCGCTTTACATGTAATATTAGTTTATTGAAGAATGCATGGTCAATAATAAGAGAGAGAAAAATGAATTATAATTTAATGGGAGCCCAATAGGGGCTTAATCTAAAGATCTGAATTAAAACCCTTTAAAATCCCAAAATAGGCCCACCCCAAACACCCATCCAAAACACTTCCCCCTATCCCCACCTAAATTCTGCCTACCCCATCCCATCCTGTCTCCAATTCCCATCTCTCATTGATTGTCACTATCATTCTTTTAAGTTCTGATTTTAGTGTATGGCTAATTATAAAAGTCATGTTCTTTCTGAAGAGAATATGTTGTACAAAATTCTCTTTAAGAAATGATAGACAAATAAACGACTCATAAAATATTAGAAGTGTCACGAAGAAATTAAAAAAAATGGTTATCTAATATGAGCTTTCCAATATGGAAGATAATATGCTGTTATGCAAAAGTTATATCTAAGAAATAGTGGACAATCAGAAAACACTTTTATAATATGAGAAATGTCAAGAAAAAAGAAAATGCCATTCAACATGGTTTTTCTATAGAACAATGTGAAATTTGCTAAAGAGACATTTCAACACAGTTTTATTAATATATGAAGGACTATTCTAACTGTCAATTTAAAGTGAAGCTCATTTGCCATTATAGCGTAGAGAGAAGACACAAAAAGAAGGGGGGGTAGGCTGTATTTAGGTGGTGGTGGGGAAAGGGTATTGGATGTGTGTCTAGATTGGGACCCATTTTGAGATTCCAAAGGGTCTTAATTTAGACTTTAGATTAATTTAAATTAAGTGATGAGATTCTTTGTCAAATCCATTTAGCCGTATTGGACGTGTCGGGGGCATGTCAGGATCACGTTCCTCGCTTGTCAAAAAAATCAAAAGAATTTATGAAGATAAGACATGTCACGAGGAGCGTAGGGGTACACACAAGTCGAATAGCACCACTCCACCCTAGAAGGAGTATCGTAGTCCACAATGTATGAATACTACTAACCTTCAGTGTGGTAGCAAATAATCTAACTCAAAGCAAGCAATAAAAATAGAAAACTCTGAAAATTCAGAAAGAGAACAAGTAATAAATCCCAAGATATCTCGAAAACCAAGTAACATGGATCGCTGCTATTTCACCAAAATACTCTACAGTGAAGAGAACAATATTATATAAACTTCTTGAAAATAATTATTCTATGTTGATTTTATTTAATTAGATTCTTCCAGCATCAAAACTTGAGAACAATTTGTGTAGATAAGTATTGTTCATGTAATTCAAAGCAGTGTAACTGTATAAGTCAATAAGGAATTATATCAATTTCTGTTTCCAAGAAACTTACATAATTGAAAGTGGTAGTTTATTATCCAGAAAAATAAACTTTTTAAGGTCCCAACAGATTTTGAAACTTGTTTATGATTCTCTCAAATGACTCTCGTCTTTTCTGATTGTATATTATGCTTGAACGGAAAAACAATTCAGCGGGGAGGAAAAAGAAATGAGGTTGACATGCTCTCTCTATTTGAAGAGAAACAAAAAAGAGAACAGAAGGTATCGTCCAATGCACAAGACTTTTCTCCTCCTTTCCCGTCTCGAAGAAAGACTGAACTTTACAGGCTTTATATCACATAATTATCTGCAATCAAGATAGGTGAAACTGACAAGGATAGATTCTCTGAAAAAATGCAATATGTTTCCGCAACTTACGTGGACTGCACACCTTCAAGGTGCAAAGAGGGCATTCTTCAATATTCCAGAAGAAACCAAAGAAGAGTGGACAACTATGTTTATGTTGATGAGGTAATTGCGTATGGCTGACATTTGCAATTATTGAGAGCCTATCCTACTAACTAATAAAAAAATGTTTTTTCAGATATTTTTTGCTTATTTGAGATAGAATATGACAAACCAGTGTAACTACATTTTAATTATTAAAGAACAAACACCATAATACTTAAGGAAACATCAAGCTAGACAAAGTTTATTGAATCCTATACCTGATATTATGGTTCAAGTCAAATTACAAACTAAACCTCGTCAATAAAAGGTCCAAATTCAAGCTAAAAATAACATATTCTTCAAGTTTACTGGTCAGACTTAATTAGACAATATAAATGTGTTGAGTAGGTAGAATATTTAACAAGTACAACAGTAAATAGTCAACTATGAATTAGAAGCAACTAAGGAAGAGTGGTTAACCTTCATAGCTGCAGTTCCGAAGCAAAGCACTAACAACATGCCGAGTTGACTCATCATTTTCCACCAGTAGAACCTTAACGGACCTCAGAGGAAGTAACCTTTCCCAATGAACCACTGAACCTTGAGGTCCCTGGGGCTTTAGCTGTTGTGTTTGTGAAACAACCTGGGTTTGTACCAAATCTGTGTCCCGGACACTCAAATAGTCAGAATCTCCATTAATCCTCGATTCTTCTTCCTCCAAGGTCCCAAGTGTGTCACTTGTAGCTTTATTTCTTACTTCATTCTGGTTATCCCGCGTGAGGTGGTAATTGAGTTCCTCCAACCCGTTGGCTGGGGAAGCATCAGTGTCCACTCGAAAACCCCTCATCAACCAGATCGATAACAGTTCACAAATAAGGTATCAGAATGAGTCGACAGGAAAATGTAATTTAGATAAGTAGCACGTGCCGTTGTCTTCAAGTGACGAACCTTTTCAAACAGCGATTCTTCGATGAATTCTATGACAGTAACTCAATTAGACGAAGAGCAAGGGCACATATCTAAATATACATAAATGAAATTGTATGTCTACAATCTAACTGTTCGGATTCAATACCTGATGCTAGATACAAGAACAAGGATATCTCTAAAACAGTTTCTGCCTTCTAACACCTTTGCTCTATATTCTAACAAGCAGCTTTATTTGTTCGTCTACATTATATGCTCATACAAAACCTTTTTTCCCACGGACATTGAAAATCTTTCTACCTCTATGCATCCTTTTTTATTTTTTTCCTTTCTTAACTCAACTCATTATATATCTTTTTTTTTCTTTTTTCTTTTTTCTTCGTATATTAATTAAATACTATGTAACCTTGATTTTATTAACGAATGACTTTCCATTCTTAACTCAACTTCGCTATTTTTGTCTGCTTTTTAGTCATATTAATTAAAAAAAAAATGTAACCTTGATTTGTTACAAATGATTCTAATTCTTAAGCACGCATCAAATCAAGCTCGGTTAGATATATAAGTTGACTATATAAAACTCACTCCCCCGCTTTGATACCACAAAACTAGATAACTGATCTTCAATCAATGAACTATATATAAAACGTTTCCATTAATTTTTCAAAGATTTCCACAGTTCTTTATCTGTCAAACACGAATTTAGAAAAGAATGAAAACTAAAAATAATGTCATATTTTGACAAACTACAAAAATAAATTCAAATTACCTTTGAAACATCGGAGAAAGAACAATCACTGTTATGACTTCAGACCATCTCGATCCGAAACTATACACGCTCACCAGAAATTTCGAGTAATTAACCAATAAAATTACTGAATATTCAAAAGCATAATTTTCTAGGGTTGAGAGGAGGATTAAAAGCACAGAGAGAAACAGAGAGGGCGCATTCAGATATGCATATAGCAGAAAAGATATTATATTCCCATCTTGATGCTGACATGGACATTATTGAGGTTCACATGACCATACGTGGATGACACGTTTGATGCCAGGTGGAAATATGGGATGTGACGTGGCTAACGAATCTAAACACGGGCGAAGAGAGTTGGTTGTGCAGATCTAATTAGATCCGATTTGGGAACGTGGCGGGCTGAGGGTAATGAAAATAGTTTTGCTTTGGAAAAATTAACGGAGTTAACGTCGATTTGGGCGACGTTAAAAATTTAAAAGCCTCCACATGGGACTGACGGCAGAGTTGACGTTTCTGACAACCTCGTTTCAGAGCACTTGCTTTGCGTGCCGTGCCATGTCAGCTTAAAAATATCTAGGAGTTTAACTGTAGTACTTTCATCTAAACATGTGAGTGGAAAATATGAACCAATTGTTGAAGGCCACGTCACTTGTCAGTTGATTTATTATATTTACGCGATTTTATAAAGAATAATGCTTTTATGAGGGCTTAAGCTATTTGTACACCAAGCCTCACGTGAGAGGAGTAGGTCCCGACGCATTTAATGTGCGGGCCTCATTCCTTATGTGAGAGGCATGTGCACCGAGCTGTTTGTAACTTGATTCCTTTTATGAATGCTTTTTAAAACAGTATTAAAATTTATCAAGTTTTTTGGGATTAAAAAAATTCAAATTAAATATTTTCTGTTTGGTCTTTTGAATTTTTATATTTGCTTATAGTGTAAGTCTTCAAATTTTAACTGGCAGACGTTGTATGTATAAAACAAACGGAAAATTTCAATCACGGTATCATATCTTTCACGTTTATGCAGATTTGATTCAAACCTTTAATTTGTTGCACTCACAGTACTAAATTTTTCAAAAAAAATTCGCATCTACAATCTATATTGACAGAATTCGTTACTTTCTATGTTAGTTGATCAAAAATTAAAGGTCTAACCAATGTTGACTAATTTTTAAATGACAAAATACTGAAGCACCAACAGAAATTAGAAAACGCACGACGATGACAGCAATTGAATGAGGAAGGTCAAGCAGATGCAGACCTTGATATGCCTCAAATTCCTCCACCACCACCCCAGGTTGATATGGACAATCAGGTATTGAGGCAGATATTCGCCACCACCACTGGAACTAGCCGGGACATACAACATCTCCAGCAGAGTTTCGAGACCATGACTACCACTGTTGACAAAGTGCAGAGAGACCTCTACTCTTCCCGGGACTACACAATGGGTGCTTTGAATGAAGCCACAGCGGCACGAAGAGAAGTGGAGACCATGAATGGTAGGTTCAACATGTATGCTGGGAGAATGGATGGCATACAGTGGCGAGTGAACGAAACCTGGGATCGATTGGGAAGTATGGAGAATAGACTTCAATCCATTCAGGCCGAGCAAGCACAACAGACAGAGTTGATGAGACAAATCCTATCTCGCCTTCCATCTCCTTCTGAAGATCATGCTGCGGGGCCCAGCTACACACCACAACCACCACTTTGATCAGGGGAGTGTTGTTTACCTCTATTTGCCAAATTGTGTATATATTTTTAAATTATGCTTTTCTAACTTTACATTTACATTGAGGACAATGTACTGTATAAGTTTGGGGGATGGTAGCATAATTTTCAAACAAATATTCGGCATGTAATTAATATGCATTTTCACAATCACTCATTAATTTGACTACATTCTTGCATGTGTGATGAATGAGTGTTGATTTTACTTTTGCATACTTGTGTGGGTTTGGTAGCCTTGCCGGCTATGATGTGATTATTGGACAGGTGTAAACTAGAACTGTGGATATAGTACAGGATTTAATTAGCGAATACTTATTGATGCAATGCTTGACATTCTTTTGCACGACACTCATGCTTTCATGTTAAGTTATTGATTGGGATTGTTGGAGTAAAATATTAGAAACCTAGGTTAACCCTCTATAACATTAACCCGTTAAACCACCTTAAGATAGTTTGGGGATGGTTGAGCCACTATAGGGAAACATGGAGGTAAGTAGGGGCTCAGTGCATGAAATTATATTGTGTGGATTGCCTAGACCCAGAAGGTGAGAAATAGGTGAAAGCTTTAGGTTGATATAACTTTGACCTTGATGCGAGGTAAGTAGCTTAGTTTGAGTCTAAAGGTTGAAACAATCAAATTAAAGAGAGTCTCTACTTGTTGATATGTGTACTTGTAAGGGTAAAATCTATCTAAACTAAGAGAGGGTAAGGATTATAGTTGTTAAACTCCCAATCTTAGAACACACCCCGAGATAATAGAGTGAAAAGAATAAGTTTGGGGGGTTATGTATCTCTCGAGTGATGCAAGGATAAATTTGACCACTATGGGTCGGGAATAAACCATTCATAAGCTTGATATGTGGGGCATGAGTTCACACACACACGCTGAGTATTGCATTTGATGAGTAAAGGTTAATTTTATTCTCGCACTATTGATATCGTTTTATTGTTAATGCTAAGTTCCAATCCTGAGACACGGCAAGCTATTAAGCCATGTTTGTTTAGCATTGAGTTACTGTATTGTTTGAGGACAAACAATAGTTTAAGTTTGGGGGATTTGATAAGTATGTTTTTACACACTTATTTGGTTCACAAACTTGACTTAAACATGGATAAAATGGTTGAATTGTGACTTAATCTAGTTAAATTCATGCAATGTAGGTATTTCAATGGAAATTTTGGAATTCAGGAGAAAAGAGCCGAAGAATGATCAAAACGCAACAAAGTGATAGTTCGAGGACCAAAGGTGCAAATATTGAGAAGTTGAGCTAAATGCAAAACGAGAGTAACAACATGCCGAGTATGAGCTTAAGGACAAAGCAAAACAATTGGAGGGAGAAAGTATTGAAGAGGGACTGAAATGAAGACAATTGAAAGTTGGAGGACTAAAGCGCAAATACTCGAAAGATGAGCCGAATGAGTGGTATGAGATTTGATGGTGTCAATCATCAATTGGAGGATAAAACTTGTTGAAAAGATGAAGAAATCGAAGAAAGAAGTCAAAAGAAGCAACAAGGAAAGTTCGGGGACCAAGATGAAGGGACTTCATAGATGGCCAAACTATGCGACCGCATAGTGTAACCATCTATGCGGTCGCATAGAAGGTTGCAGGGAATACTAGAGGAAAATTTATTGTTCTATGCGACCGCATAGAAACCTTCTATGCGGTCGCATAGTTATACTTCGGGGGCCTCAGTTGCAGTTTTTTGTTTTCGTTGAAACTCTTTTCCTACTTGATTTTGATGCGATATAAATACCCAAAATCATCAAATTGAAAGTAGGAACGACTAGAGAGATGAATTGGAGGCACAAAAACACTATCTTGGGTTGATTTCACAAGGATTCAAGAAGAATTTCAAGATTTCATACAAGAAAACAAGGATTTTCATACGGGCGTATTCTTTATATCTTTTAATTTCATTTTTATTTCTTGATTTAGTAATTCATGATTGTAGGCTAGGGTTTAAATTCATTAGGAGATCGATGAACCTTTGATTACTATTAAATTCTTATATCTCATGAATTCAATATAAAGTTTCGTTTGGATAATATGCTTGATTTATATGTTTTCATTGCATCCATAATTATTGGCCATATATTATGTGAGATTAGATGATTTATTTCTTACATTTGAGAGAAGTGGAATAGATTCGATAAAATATAAATCAACATAGGGTCCGATAGGGGATAGAAATATACCCATATGCTTTATGCAATTCGTTAATTGTTCATAGAAATTCATGCATGCTTGTATATTTGCATCATCCATAGAAATATAGGCTGGTGGTATGCAAGAGGAGGTTTAATATATATCGAGAGAGTATATTGGATAGGTTTAGGAACATTGAATTGGCATTTTTCCATCGATTCATTGAATTTGTGAAATTAGGGTTTTTGGTAATCAATTGGGAATTCGAGATCCTAATGATTCTATTTCAATTTATTTCTATACATTAACTTCCAAAATTGCATATTTACATTTTAATTGAGTTGTTGAGTCATTTAATTAGGGGAATTTCGAAATTAGGGTTTCCAGTTTCGAAATTAGGGTTTTCTTCAAAAATTAGGGTTTCAAATTGGGGGTTTCTTCCAAAATTAGGGCTTTTCACACTTAGACCAAATTTTCATTCAATTGGATTCGGTTAAGGTCACATTAGTTTAATTAGAGCTAATTCAATCCTCGTGGGAACGATACTTGGACTCATAGTCCATTTTACTACTTGTTAACGAACCGTACACTTGCGGTAAGTTTTAAAATTGAAAGAAATATATCGCGAACAGTTACATACAAGGATAGAGATGATTTAGCAAAGGTTATAAATAAAGATTTTGTTCGCCGAGCAATGTTAACAAAATTTTTTATAATGAATTTTTCAAATGAAAAGGCAAAAACTCTATTGTATGAAAATTTTCCAACCTATTTTGTATGGGATACATCCATGCGAATTTGGACTCCTAGAAAAAGCAAAAATGTTATTGGTAAAATAGTTAGTGCTAATCCATATGAAGGTTAGAGGTATTTTTTAAGAGTTTTGCTAAATTATATTAAAGAGCAAAAATCTTTTGAAGATTTAAAAACAGTAAATGGTATTGTTTTATCTACTTATTATGAAGCAGCAGTTTCCCATGGTCTTCTTAGCGGAGATAACTACTCTGAGATGTGTTTGTCTGAGGTAGTTGCTTACCAAATGCCTATACCTTTGCGACGACTATTTGCCAATGTATTGAGTTTATCTTGCCCTACAAATCCAAGGAATTTATAGGATACATTTAAGAATTTTATGATAAAAGATTATTTACATAAAGGTTTCACACAACAAAGTGCTAAAATGAAAGCTCTTAACTGTATAAATTCTTTCTTAGAAGGTGTTGGTAAGAATATAATTGATTTTTGCTTGGTAGATTTTGATTTAACTGTGAATGATGATGATATCTTTGAAACCATGGTTGCCGAAGAAACAACTAACATTAATTTTCAGTCAGACAAACATTATAGTGA